GATGGGTCCTGGAATTCGCCAACAGTCGCACCCGTGCTTCTCGTTTCTCGTCCCTCTAAAATAGGAGACGGATCTTCATCCGCCCTAATCCGTATTCCCGTTGGCGTGATTGACTGATATGCAACGAGATCCTGTCGTAGACGGAAATCCCGAATGGGTGGCTGCATAGGTCGCGATCGGCCGTTGCGCGGTGTTGGCAATTTCGCTCCTTGCCAATAATGCACTCGGCTTATGGGGGGCATCTGATTCGTTACAGAAGCCATGTGGTTGAGAGTGATAGCGTTATGAACAGTTGAATGTTGAGCACCTGCATCTTGAGGCGGAGTTAGATTCACGGAAACTCTAGGCATCTGCGTCGTTGGAAGAGATACATTCCGGAAGGAAGATGGCCGTCGAACACAATCCATTGATATTCGGTAAAGCTCGAGCTGACAAAAGAAAGAAAATGCAATGTGTGAGGTTCGAAAATTGATGAAGCAACAACGTAATGGCATTCGATTATAGTACTATGAGGGACGGAAGTAAATGAGAGGTTTTAACCGTCCCTTGCATTTTCTTGATACTCCCAACCGTGACGCCCTTCTTATCATGAAATTAATGGTGGAATTCGCATCTTTATTTTCATGCCACATAGATGTCTGCTATGGTTATTATATGCAGAAAAGATCGACCTCTGCCAGAAATGAACCCGGCACTTTGGGACTTAGAAGCCGACCTCTGAAACATTGCTCCACAAAGCTGACATGATCGCAGGACAAGCAATGCGATACTTTATAGGCGCTGCAAAAACCCCTTGAAAATCTATTCCAAAATTGGACAATCTATTTTGAGCAAAGATCTACGAAATGAAGAAAATTGTTTATTGTTCATACAAGGTCATATACTCATAAGATCACGTGGTCATATTTTTGTTCACGACTTGTCATATACTTCTGAAGGATGAGAAAAACTTTAAGGTAATTGTGCAATTTAAGGAGAGACTACGATTTCCCAGAGCTTATGGGAATGTGGTCATTAAAGCTGAGGATTCATAGACGGAAGATCAGCGGCTAGTTCGCTCGACAAGTCTCGGTGAAGTTCTGCCTTTCAGAAGTAGATGGATGAATGTCACTTTGTAGAAAGGAAAGAGAAGAAAGCACGTCACAGCAATGAGTTAGCTGTCGTAATGGTCAACTAAACACTCGTAATTTAGTGGCTGATGGCACAGTAACAACAACTAGTGCTCCACGAGAGAAAAGCGCCCCAAATGGTACTCAATCATGGCAGTGTGTGGGAGTTCGATTCCTTTATGATTGTGAACTCTCCTCTTCTCATTGTGATTACCACAAAACTATTCAACGGTCTTTAAAACTTGAAGCATTTTTTATGCTGCCTGAATTTCGCTGATCAGAAGTATCTTTGCCAATTACCAGGAAAAAATGCATTTTGCAAGGTCCTACGGAATTATGATCCTATGAACTAATTACAATACATTGCGAT